GGTTACTTAATAAACAAAATAAGATAAAAGAAGTAGCATCAAACAGAAATTACCCGCACACATGGGGTGTTCGAGGCGCATGGCACATATAATACTGCAGACAGTTAGACAGGGAGCGCGCAGCTCTTAAAGGGGCCACACCTTATTTCCACTCGTTACAGTCTGAAATAAAACAAGATGAGAAATTAAATATTTCCAGCACTTTCTGTGATGTAGTATGCTTGCTTATCATAGGAAGTAATAAGAAAGGACTCTTTACATTAAGGTAGTAGCCTGGTGAGAACAGGGTGTTGGGGGAATCACTTTTTTTTCCTCTTTTTCATCAAACCGCAGTTTTTGCAAGTTCCCGCAATTTTTGCAAGTTCCCGCAATTTTTGCAAGTTCCGGCAAATTTTGCAAGTTCCCGCAATTTCATCGCAAAAAATTGCATAAATATCCCGCATATTCCATCGCATTTTTAAAGAAAACAGGCCGCGTAATCAAGGATTTTTGCCCGCAACAATCACAAAAAAACTCCGCGTTTTTCTGGAAGGACTGGCTATAGCTATTATATTTATTCATTTACCCAGCAGATAAGTCAGTGTCACTTTTAGTGGGCAATGAGCATGACTGCATGAAATTACTGGCATTGCAAAGGAGAGATATTTTATAGGCTGATATGGACAATATTTTCCGCATGTCATGCAGGGCTCCGTAATTTTACATCAGTCGTTTATGCTTATTTTCCATTAGGGTAAGTTAATAAACACAAACTCGGGATTTTACACAAATTATGATAATTCACTTTATTTCAGTAAGGCATCGGATAAATTCGAAAGTGTGTTTTATTTTATTTTAAAGCTAAAAAAACAAGGAACTGCCGCACACTATCAATACTTGTGAATAAGTATCAACATTTTAATAGCAACGTTTCGGTCTCACGACCTTCATCAGACATATAGTACAACTATTCAATCCCATTTAAAATGATAACATGACCAATCAAGATCCAATTAATCAATTAAGCTGAATGAGACTGAATACATAATTAATTTAACACCACATCATCATAAACAGTTACAAACATAACTATTCAAAATTGATAATATAATGATGTGGTGTTAATTATGTATTCAGTCTCATTGAGCTTAATTGGTTACAAATTACAAGACCGAAACGTTGCTAATAAAATTTTGATAGCCTACTCATTTGCAAGTAGGCCTATTGATAGTGTGCGGGAGGTCCTTTTTTCTTTTTTCTTTTTTTTTGATATTTGACCTGACCTACCGTTTGGTCTTTTTTCCCACGCATCACCTGCAGGTGATTGATTGACATCTGTTATCAATCTCTCTCCATTTTTTTTTTTTTAAAGTTGTGAAAACACTATTACAGCGTTTTTCTTTTGCTATTTGAGCAAACGGGAACACACAAAATATATTCAATGTCGTATCTCATTCACCGCTATAGAAGTTTACCCAACTATGACGACTTCCGCTTCTGAGAAACTCGGAAATGTGAAAAGGGTCAATTTTCAAATACTGTTGCTTCAAATCAAATTTCATAATGCTGTGATTAGTATAAACGCATCAAGAGAGTCTACCAAAGAAGAAGTCATCAAATGCGAGATAAAAACAATATTTTACTGAAAAAAGGGGCAATGCTGTGATTCACATTATTGGTTTGGTAACTCTTTAACAAAGACTTTTTTTTTTTTCAACTCCCCAAGAAAAACCAATTGAGAAAAAAGCTTTAAAAAGTATTCAGGCCACTGAAATAGTGGACAGGAACTGTTGAATTCTATTGTGCTTGTAGTTTATACAGGCTTACATAATCCCAAAATGTCTTAGGGGGGCCAGCTCATTTACATGCACTGTATGAACTCCATAGAAAACTGAGTGGAACATCAGTGCTAATTTCTCAGCTCATACAGTGGCAGATCCATTAGAGGAATGCAGTGCAGTTAACAGAGCTCATGTCTGTGACACAGATAATCAGACCCATCGAGACATGCACCATCAAATGTTTAGTTATGCTTAATGATCACAGAGAGATTTTGTACTTTGTCAGCAGTACACATCAACGGGACTTTGGTTCATACTTCGACTTTATGAAGAAATAATTGAATTAACACCTTTAGTTAATTAACTTGTGAAATAATGCTTTTTGTGTGACAAAGGAAGTTGATTGAGTCCAATATTCTTGGTGACTGAGAATGGTCTGATTCACTGGGTAATTTCAGAGGGATGAGGATCATTCATTTCTGAGTCAAGGGATGTGGCATGAGCCATATCCACATAATGAAAGCATTCTCTATTCATGTCACTTAGACTTTACATAATGTATTTAAAATAGATCAAAGCAAACGTTTTGCCCCAAATATGATACTTTTATAACATTTATTTTAAATACAAGAAATTCAAAACTGTAGTCCAGCATTGATCTGTGGAGTTGAAACCTTTGCTAGTTGTTACAGTATAACTCCATCTGTATAAACTATAGGAACTATAAATACGTTAACATGTTGATTTGTTGTCAACATTCTGATTTTGTATTGAGATTTGTTTCCCTTGTGTGCCCAACATCGTCATGTCACTTGGAAAGCTGTCAGTCTGTCTACAATTCATTCAGTCAGAGACAGTGATCATTATTATTTTCCTTTTCTGTCAGTATGTTTGGTTTATTACTTGTTCTTGTAAATCATTCATAAAGCACCAAATATGTAAACTGCAGCTATTGAAAATGAAAGAGTTCAACAGCATGGCACACACACACACACACACCCTTACAGGTATGATTCTCTCTGAATCACAGGAAATTAACATATTGATTTATCCTCCCAATGGACACAGGGAGCAGGATTTATACATGAGGACAGAAGTCATAAACGAGACATTTCAAATCTGACATTCCAATTCAAAACAGTGACTGGATGTCCAAAAGTCCTGTGAGTAGTCTACATAATTAAACTATTTTACACCAGTCTTTAAAAAGGTTGTGTTCTTCCATACTTTCAATGTAACACCAAATACAGTAATAACTAAATGACAGAGTAATGGCTGTATAAGAGATATCCAAGATGGATCCCTGGAAAAATGAAAATTGTTGCTTATATCCAAAATACTGTTACTCAAATGCTGTTGTTACTGTAGAAAGATGGTACATCACAAATCCATTGAAAGGAGGCTCTGTGCTATAAATCTAAACTAAAATACAGACAACTATTGCAGTTTATTTCACATTTAAAAGTGTAAAATACTGAAACCGTTGTAGTAAAAAGCTGTTCGAAAACAAATCAATCCCTAATAACTTCCATTAAAAAAGTTTGCAATAATTGTAGCTGTGGTTACTGAACAATGAAGATCTGTATTTCAAAAAAGAAAAACTTTTGACATCACAGTTCTCAGTTTCACACTGACCAATCTTCAAACACTAATCAACATTAGGTAACAGTTTTTCATTCAGTGAAAATTATATTTTCATCTTAATATACTGAGACTAGACTATCATGCTGCACTTTGGAGGATGCTTGTGTTTCTTCTAGTGTACGAGGTGGTGTGTATATTAAAATAAACAAATGAGCATTTTTAATAGCTATTTGCTTCAATGATTATTTAACAATTATCTTGCCCAAATATTTTTTTTTCCATGGGACACAAAATGAGTTATTTAGCAGAATGACCCAGCTGTTCTTTTCTATACAATGAAAGTGAGTTTTGACAGTCAAATTCTAAAAGGAAACATCCTGACATAAGGAACAGACCAGAATTTATGTTTTTCACTGAAACTTTCCTGCTCTCAGTTAATAAAACAATAAGGAAATTGAATAAAAAATAAATAAAAGAATTGTCAGACCAAATCATAAAATGTTAAGGACATTTGACCAAGGTCAAAGATTTTTGTTTTGTACGATATGTGTGATGTGCCAAATAATTGTACAATATAACTTGGATTGACGAATATGACTGAATACACATATGATATATAAGATATTGCCTATGATGATTATATTTTTTTGTTATTTTTTCGGTTTGTTGTTCTTGTCTTTTTTTCTCTTTTGCACCTTTAAAAAAACCCCAGAAAAAAACTCTCATCTCATTCCTAGTCATTCTTTTACAATCAGAGCTGGTGATTCCACAACACACAATTTCTTTATTTACAGACCGCTAGAGGCGAGGCACACAGCAGCACATAGCGGTGTAATAGCGGCTTAAGTTTTGGTCTGTTTCAGTTATGACACAAAGCTATACAACTTGGAAGGTGTAAGAGATAGCCTGACAGCCACAGTCACCATCATCTAGAAAAACAGCCTGGACATTCTGCTAGCTAACTCGTGTGTTCCACAGAAACAATGACGTTATGAGCACCATGACAATGACTACATCACCGATTTATCATTTTGGCGTAAACTATCCCTTTAATGATGTTACTGCAATACATTATTTTTGGGTACTGAAATGACAAAATAATCTGATTACAGTATTTGTTTCAATAATACCCTTATGTCTATGCTAATAAAAATAAAACAGCTGGTTTGCCTCAGTAAGGCACTCAGAATTTCTGTGACCTAAAAAATCCCTTGATCACATCACTAAATGTTTACCAGAAATGCCAGGACCTGGTACTTCAAAAACTAGCAGAAAGCACCTGTAGAGATGGGTGAGAGAGTGGAAATATATCAAATCGTTACCAAATGGCTCTGCTGGTGCTCAAAAATCCAGAAGTCTCCAACACTTAAGTTGTCTTACATAGTCAACATCAAAACAAGCTTATCGATTATTACAATGGAAAAGAGTTTCATCTGCTACAAAATAACACAGATTCAATTTCAGAATAACCGGTTGTTTTTGGATTGTCCTCATCTCCATAAAAATATGAACCTTCCATCCAAAAATTCTGTCATTTTGTTTTCCTTTATAACTGTTTGCCTTCAACATGTTGACACAGAGAATAAAAACTGTTAAGGGGAAATAATAAAAGATTATTAAAAAAAAAAGTCGTGGGCGTTCCACGTTCAGTGAAATTTATAATAAGTTAATTAAAACTGTAACAAAATATCAAATGAGCCTCTGGTCCTTGCGACATATTTGTCCCTCTTTGATTCAGTGTCTGTATTTCTAAGGAAAACGTGTGTTTGAAAAACGTAAGCATGAAGGGAATCCACTGAACTTCCTCTAGGACTGTGGTAGGTGCTGTTTGATGATCTCTCTGGACTGGGGTGGTATTCTGTCTGGGAAGCGCACCTGGAACTCCACTATCAAATCGCCGCGTTGGGATGGATTTTTTGGGAAAGGTAGGCCTTCTCCACGCAGTCTCTTGATTGTGCCTGGTTTGATGATATCGTTGCAGGGCAATGTGATGGCTCGGTTTTCAATGGTGGGAATGTTCACTGTGCAGCCACACAAAGCCTATCAAAAAGCAAAAAAGCAAAGTGAAGTCAGTGCGGACAAGAGACGCTGATGGTATTTCAACACTCAAGCACAAACTCTACATGGCGACATAGAGACCTAGTGTAAGATGCCTCTATGATGTTACAGGCACAGAGAGCACATGTACAGTATGGATATGGTTTATATACATATAGTGTATATATAGTGCACTGTAAAAAGAAATCTGAAATTTACAGTAAAAACCGGCAGCTGTGGTTGCCAGAACTTTATCCATAAAAAAATATGCACCCAACATTTTAAGTTTTACAAATTTAACATATATATATATATATATTTGAAAAATATTTATTTTGGAACATTATAAATGTATTTACTGTCACTATAATTTTTTTTTATAAATTTGTTCTTCTGATTATTCAATTAGAGTTAAAATGAAAACAAATAAATGAGATAAAATGGTCATTAATTGTTTTCATTTACTTTTTCAAAATACATGTATTTGATCAACAATTATCTACACAATAACTTCATTCACATTTGATCAAAAACTTTTTGCAGTAGTTGTAAAGTTTCTGACTTGGATTGTGTCAAAGTGGGCAAGTGTGCGTGTGTGTGTGTGTGTGATGCTGCAGATGTGGTAGCTGAGTGCACAGAAAGCTAATTCTGGCCACTGCTCTCATTTCACACAGCTAATGAAGCAACTGAAAAATCAGCTGAGGACATAAATTGTGATTCCCAAATCAGAAGTTGCTATGGATAAAAAAGAGACTGAAGCAGGATTCCATAGGTCCATAGGCACAGATGGAACACTTTCAAATTGTTAAAGAGGAAGAATTTTCCAAACAAAACTATTTAAAAAAAACGATAAGTAAAATTTACTTAATGAATGCAGATTTTTTTAATTTAATTTCACATTTAGTGTTAAATCTACTTAACTAAGTTATGGAAAATAAACAAAGAGGATAAGTACATTTAACTGGGCCAGTTAGAGTTTGTTGAGTAATTTCCACTTAATCATTTTAAGTTTATCGTGCAATACAATAATTTTAAGTTGCTCACTCTCTGTCTGTACATTTTACTCAAACAATATCACACTGAATTAAGCCATGATTTAAAATTGTACGATTTACTTAGAAACATGAAATTAGATTAAATTACTACGCAATATCTACACACACTGTAAAACCCAACAAGTTAAGCTAACTCATTTCATTTGAGGAAACCGATTGCCTCAATTCATTTAAGTTTATAAAAACAATAGTTATGAGTACTCTGAACTTATTTTAATCGAGTTCACTAACACAATAATATTTCTTAAAACACAATTAAACTTTACACTGCATTTAATAATGTATATAGCTGAGACTTCACTTTATTGAGTAAAAACAGTGCAATATAAATAATGTAGTTGTCACACACACTGGTTGGACTTAGTTTTCAGTTTGCACCTTTTCCCTGAGTTCGTTTGTTGTCATGGTTGTTGATTGGATTGTCATTCTGTTCAGCTTTGGATTAATTAAAGACTGACTTTTCTCTTCATCATCTTGTTTGTGTTGGTCATCTACACAGCGCTGTGGTAGTAGTACCCATCCGAACCTCAATACTTGGTACACAACAATGGTAACATTCGATGGATCATTTGAGTATGAATATCAATTTAAGTAGAAAATGAACTCCAGATGTCACAAAACAGAAAGTTACTAACCTTAACAACGATAAAACAGTGTAAATACAGCTGGAAAGCAGCTAAAAAAGTGACATTATTAATTGTGCATGGCATGCCCCAGTGCATGATGGGAACACCAATATCAGAAAGTTGAGTAGGTTTTACTTAATTTTATAACGTTGATATTTACACTTTGATTTCTACAAACTTGAATTGAGTACTACTATAGAATTTACTTTGTTTCTTTAAATTCTTGCCTGAACTCACTTAATGTAGAAATTACATTTGTTTGTTTTTTGTAGCATTTACTTCACCACAGGATAATTTTTATCAGGGTACACACAAACCATAATATCACAATAATGTCCTCATTTGTACATTGCTTTGGATAAAAGTATCTGTTGAATGAATAAATGTAAAAAAAAATGTTTTAAAAGTAAATCAAATGGAAGTGGAAGCAATCTTAGATACAGAATATTTTGTGACATGATTTGTATGTTGAGAATAGTTTTGTGTTGCTGGCATTTCATGGTACTTGAATGCATTGCATTCATTATGTTAGTGAGATGCTAGTGGCATACTCTGAGCTCTTTCGGAAAGTTATTGCCTAAAATAATTAAAGAATTTATGATTTCACTGGTTCATATAATCCTGCAGTGTGAGAATGTAAACAGATTTTCCACGCTTTCCATTATGGAGGGGCTGTAGCTTTAAGAACCTCACTGGACCATCGGATAAAAGCATAGATATACAGATTTTAGTAAAAAAAAAAAAAAAACATATACACTCACCGGCCACTTTATTAGGTACCCCATGCTAGTAACGGGTTGGACCCCCTTTTGCCTTCAGAACTGCCTCAATTCTTCGTGGCATAGATTCAACAAGGTGCTGGAAGCATTCCTCAGGGAGTTTGGTCCATATTGACATGAAAGCATCACACAGTTGCCGCAGATTTGTCGGCTGCACATCCATGATGCGAATCTCCCGTTCCACCACATCCCAAAGATGCTCTATTGGATTGAGATCTGGTGACTGTGGAGGCCATTTTAGTACAGTGAACTCATTGTCATGTTCAAGAAAACCAATTTGAAATGATTCGAGCTTTGTGCCATGGTGCATTATCCTGCTGGAAGTAGCCATCAGAGGATGGGTACATGGTGGCCATAAAGGGATGGACATGGTCAGAAACAATGCTCAGGTAGGCCGTGGCATTTAAACGATGCCCAATTGGCACTAAGGGGCCTAAAGTGTGCCAAGAAAACATCCCCCACACCATTACACCACCACCACCAGCCTGCTCAGTGGTAACAAGGCATGATGGATCCATGTTCTCATTCTGTTTACGCCAAATTCTGACTCTACCATCTGAATGTCTCAACAGAAATCGAGACTCATCAGACCAGGCAACATTTTTCCAGTCTTCAACTGTCCAATTTTGGTGAGCTCTTGCAAATTGTAGCCTCTTTTTCCTATTTGTAGTGGAGATGAGTGGTACCCGGTGGGGTCTTCTGCTGTTGTAGCCCATCTGCCTCAAAGTTCGACGTACTGTGCGTTCAGAGATGCTCTTCTGCCCACCTTGGTTGTAACGGGTGGTTATTTGAGTCACTGTTGCCCTTCTATCAGCTCGAACCAGTCTGGCCATTCTCCTCTGACCTCTGGCATCAACAAGGCATTTCCGCCCACAGAACTGCCGCTCACTGGATGTTTTTTCTTTTTCGGACCATTCTCTGTAAACCCTAGAGATGGTTGTGCGTGAAAATCCCAGTAGATTAGCAGTTTCTGAAATACTCAGACCAGCCCTTCTGGCACCAACAATCATGCCACGTTCAAAGTCACTCAAATCACCTTTCTTCCCCATACTGATGCTCGGTTTGAACTGCAGGAGATTGTCTTGACCATGTCTACATGCCTAAATGCACTGAGTTGCCGCCATGTGATTGGCTGCTTAGAAATTAAGTGTTAACGAGCAGTTGGACAGGTGTACCTAATAAAGTGGCCGGTGAGTGTATATATAGCTGCTAAGACAGTTTACAAATGTAATTGATAGGATTATATGAACAAGATCCTTCTGTATTTATACATTTATGTCAGATTTAGTTCATTTTCATCTTCCAACAGAGCTGAAGTTCCTCACTGTTAAATATCAGGATATTAAAAACGAGATGGATAAAGTCGAGACTTTAAAGATTAAAGCTTAAATGTATGCAGTGAAAAGCCTGCGGTTATTGCATGTGAGCTTATGCTGGAAGAACATTTCATGAACTTTCTGTGAATACCAAGCACAAACATTGCCAGACAGCTCTGCTTAGCAGCTGCCTCAAGGGATGAGAAAATGTGTTCGCAATGACATCAGCTCCTTCCTACAAACAGCAGTGGTGTGGGCTGGGGGGATGGGAGACGGGGGATTCAAGGAAAGAAGGGAGTAGCTGATACTCTCACAAAACAGTTGAACATGACAAGGTGCCAGGCATCTCCTCGACTCTGGCTAATGATGATGTTTCCCAAACATAGTCTTGTTAAAGGAGATTGAAAATGAAACAAGTTATTTTATGGTCTACAGCTCGGTGTGGCAAAGAGGTTCGTCACTGATCTGGACATTTGCACCAGTACGAAGTTTGCAGAACATTACCACTAGTGAAAAATATAGGCTACATCTACATTAGCAAACCCACTAAGCATGTCCATAAGTATGTCAACAATGACACAGGCAAAAAGTTAGTCAAATGCAACTATTCTCAAAATTCGATTGCAAGCCCTGACAGTTTTGTCAGTTGTTGCCTTTGGCTTGCTCAGTTGGGGATATTCAAATTATATATACCCATCATACCACTGATCAGCTCTACCAAACTTGGATGTCTTTTCCAGTAATAAACAAACACTGTTAAGTTGTTTTGATTGATACTGTGAAGCAGCTTTGATACAATCTATATTGTGAAAAGCGCTATATAAATATATTTGACTTGACTTGACTTGACAATTTAGTGGGCACTCTCTTTCTAATACCCTAAATGTTTATGAACAGAACTGTATTTATTTAGACCTCCAAATGACTGACAACTGTATTGTGCACAGACATACAGGTCCCGCACGCTGTAAAGGTGCGTTCAGTAGTTTGGCAATTTGTAGACTGTACTTATAAAAGTTTTCTGTAAAAAGTGTTTTAATTATGTATCGTGCATGTCGCCCCCTAAATGTATTTCGCTATGTTGAAATGACATGACCTGCAGTTTTACTAAGCATCAGAGAATCCTCACGCTCATTGGCTTCCACATCTGTAGATACGCTAGTAGCGTAGTGATGCTTGATGATGCGAAGAAAAACAATTAGACAATGTTCTATGTAGACACTTACT